AGAACCACTGCGCACTTATAGGCTTAACACGGTAACCTACGGGACAGTCCCAGCATCATTTTTAGCGACCGGATGCTTAGTCAAATTAGCCGAGGAAGAATATCAGGTATTTCCCGATGCTTGCGACGCTATCAAATCTGATTTTTATATGGACGATTATTTGGGCGGTTCCGACACAAAAGATAATGCACTAAAGTTACGTAATTCATTGATTGAAGTAATGCGCCGAGGTGGTTTTCCGCTAAGAAAATGGATGTCAAATAGCTCCGAACTACTCACCGATATTCCAGATATAGGAAATAAATCAATGACCATTATGGAACTTGAAAATGAAATGACTAAAATTTTAGGTTTATTATGGTGTCCGGAACGCGATGTTTTTAAATACAAAATCGAAATAACAAAGCTCAACGATCTAACAGTTACAAAAAGAAATATATTATCACAAATCGCTTCATTGTTCGACCMGCTAGGTCTYGTTGGTCCTATAGTAATACGCGCAAAAATATTAATGCAAAAATTGTGGCAATTACAATGCGATTGGGATAAACCGGTACCTATCGAAGTAAAAAATGAGTGGAAAAGTTATTTAAGTTCATTAAATTATCTACGTGAGTTAGAAATACCACGATATCTCGGTACTGAAATTAATTATGAAATACAAATACAYGGCTTTGCGGACGCTAGTTTATTAGCATACGGGGCGTGTTTATATATTCGTTGTTCAAGTATAGAGAATGTACACGTTACCAAACTTATTTGTGCAAAATCAAAAATAGCACCTTTAAAAATAATATCACTACCTCGTCTTGAACTATGCGCCGCCGTAATACTTGCGCGTTTAGCAAATAAAGTGTTACCGAAATTAAAATTAAATATAAAAGCTAGGTACTTCTGGACGGACTCTTCTATAACATTGGCCTGGATTAAATCTCCGTCTTCAAAATGGAAAACCTTTGTGTCTCATCGAGTAGGTGAAATACAAGATATAACCAGTTTAAATGAATGGAACCACGTTAGCAGTCAGGATAATCCAGCCGATTTAATATCTCGCGGTTGCCGTCCCGACCAAATAATAAATAATGAATTATGGTGGGAGGGCCCTCATTGGCTCACCGACAACTCCGACAAGTGGCCTAAATCAAAGATTAACCTTAACGTTGGAACTATACCGGAAGCTAAAGAAAAAATCGTTCTATTAATAAATCCTATAGATGAAAACCTAATTAAAAAATATTCATCGTGGAATAAATTATTACGTGTGTTTTCTTATTGTTTACGTTTTATTAAAATTCGTGTCAAAAAACTGAAAATTGTGGGTCCAATTCAATCTGAAGAACTACGAGAAGCTGAAATCGCTGTGATTAAAATAACACAATTGTATTACTGGTCAAATGATATAAATAGTTTAATAAGTAAT